TAAAAATGTGAATCAGTTTCATCCAAGGGAAACAAACAAAACGCTTGAGGTGTGACTCATGCACAAAAGCCTGGCTGGAAGGCTCTTGTTGAGAAACAAACTGGGGTTGCCATGGAAACTGCAGAGCCTCACACTTCCTGCACCAGAGCCCTTCCTCCTAGAGGTAAGCGACTTGTTTTCTGTGTATTGAATCAAGAGCATCACTTTGTCTCTGCAGAAGTAACTTGTTTTTCAGGCAGGTGTCAGCTCCTAGGAGGCATTCTGAAAATCAAATGAAACATTTGGTTTTGAGAAATATAAGGGTAGGTTTTGGAAAGTTATTACTCACCTGCTTCAAATCTTGTAACAAATATAAAGAAGTACTCAAACTGCTAGCTTCAGAATGCACGATTAGCAGGAGCCCATTGCTTCAGAATAGGAGGCAAAAAGAATGAAACGTTGCTGTGCCACATGTGTTTGGCATTTCATGGGCTTACTCCCACTTAGTCCTCACAGCAACCTTGAAGGGTAGAACAGCATTGTCCCCGTTTTACAGATGAGGAAACTGAGGCTCAGAGAACACTGATTTTCCCAATATCACACAGCCAGTCGGCCAACTTGGGACTGGAATTCAGGTCTGTGCCAACCCAAAGCCGATGATGCCTTTTGCACTGTAGTGGACTGTGGCTCCACCCCACGTTTATCTTCTAGCACATTCTGGGCAAAGTGTGAGTCATTCACTTTAAATCCATCCAAAACAAAGTAAGTTTTGGTATGTAAGGCTTTTAAGTGTAAGTGCTAGGAATATTGATTTGCCCTTTAAAAAAAAATTGAAACTTGTTTTAACCACTAAAGTATCTAAGAACTGAGTTCTAAAATGCATACAGTTCTTACTAAATTCTATGGCTGAATTCCTTAAGATAGAAATTTCAGAAAAATACAGAAACAAAAAAGGGAAAACGGCAAGGTCCTATAGAAGATATTTAGAAATTTATTTTGATTTTTCTATCAAAAATACAAAGATAATACAAATTTCATGATCATTTTCCAAAGGCTTCAAATATTTCTTAACATTATTTTGCTCTTAAAGAACACGTCAAGTTGGCAGTACTTTAAAATCTGTACTCAGAAAAACTACAGACCAAATCCGACAGATTCTGTATTTTGCCGTCATCTAATTAACACTGTTTCCGTAAGCATCCTTTGAGGATTTAGAGATTCAGTGAAACTGCTCGCAATGAGCAGCAGTGAATACTGTTTCAATCCTGAAACCCAGACAAATCATCTCTGGGGCTGGCTGTCTTTAACACAAAGAATCTCAGCTTATAGCAGATAGCCCAGGACAACAGGGGAGAGATTATTAGGTCACTATTTTCAGAAGTTCTGACCCCTTACTCAACTACTAAATATTTATTTGCCAAAGCAACCACTCCGGGCAAGGCAGAACAATTTCCAAATAGTAAAAAAGATAAGGGATATACAAAGAATCTTTTAGGACATCAAGGTTACAACATATTTTATCTTTCAAAGAGTATGAGAGTAGTTGGGAAACTCAGAAATTATGTGAATTAAGCATGGGTAGATTTTATTTATGAAGAGCAAAGCATGGACACTTAACAGATAAATCACTCAGAAACAGCCACTTGAGGCCCAGCTGCTAATGTCAGAAGTACTCCCATGATGAAAGAGGCCAGACAAGAGCATTCAAATCTACAGCAAGCCTGAGGCCTCCAAGTCTTGATTTTGACTGGGGATCACTATGAAGGAGCCCACTTAGGATAATAAAGCTTCCAACCTTTTCCTTTAATGGTCGACTAAAAACACAAAACCATCTTCAAGTAAATATGTAGTGTCTGATGCCTGAGGATGAAAGGAAATGCTTTTCTCTACCCTGTAGAGATTCTCCATCTCCGAGAGGGAAAAGAAATCCTTTGCTAACACTTGTTTCAAAAGCATCTTAAAGCTTCCCAGTGACCCAGAATATTGGTAACTTCTTTTTGTAACCAAGTCATACCCCCACTTAACCATTCTGTGCTCTGAATTAACTTCAGCTGGTTAAAGGATGTCTTTTTCTGCAACAGTCTGAAATACTAATCATTCAGGAGGTTTTTTGTTTTGCTTTTTAAAGCTTACTTCAAACAATTCTCTTGGGTAGGAGAGTACACATGAAGAAGTGAAGTAACAAAAACTCAGGACCTTTGGAGATCCTACACACACAAAAGATTCTGCCAAACCATAAAAGAAGTATAAAGGCCAACAAATATTCAATTTTCCTTATCATGACATCTCCAGTGGATTTTTTTCTGAAGTACCAAATCAAGTTCTATCCGCAAACTGGGTCTACAATGCCCCCAACTTTGCAGGGTATGGGCTTCATCTGTCTTGCCAATCCAGTGCTGCTGAGACAGCTGACAGTGGTGGCCCTTTAGCATCATGGGCACGGCAAGTGACTGTGGCAGAGCCCTGGCACTCGTCTCCAAGGATGAGAGGCAGTAAGCGATAAGGCAGCAAGTCTCTGAGTGTCACCTCTTTGACATGTGAAGACATCAGCTAAGTGAAGCATGCACACCGGCCACACACACAGTCCCAAAAGAAGGGGAGGAAACAAGCAGAACGCTCATCATGCTGCCAGAGAGGAGCTGCCTTCTGCCCATCAAAGCTGCTCACTGGTAAGAAAAGAGGTGGAGAGACATTAACACCAAACCCAATGTAAGTGCCCTCTGCCAAGTCCGGCCCCTTGAGCGGAGCAAGTGCAGAATCCAAAACCGATGTGGACTCATGCTCTGGCATGAGCTGGGGGTGACCTGGATCCTGAGGCTCACATGGGTGTCAGGGGGGTGCCGGGGCCTCTTTCACTCCAGCTTCTTGGCTGGCACCCGTGTCCGAGCAATGATGATGGGCACCAGGGCCACGCAGCTGATGGCGAGGGCCCACAGGGGCCGGTAGAAGAGCCAGCCAGCAGCCACGGTCAGCAGGGTCAGGGAGGTGGCCATGCAGAAGGCAAAGGCCTTCAGGCCAATGTTGACCAGGTCTCGGAAGACAGGAAACCAGTCCACTGTGGGAAAGAAGAGAAAGGCAGTGAGGCTTCTGAGGCCGCCATGCTCCCCATCTCATGAGGTCAGCAGGTGGCTCCTGTTTCTAGATAAGGATGAGCCCCTGCTGCCAGGTAAGGGGAGGGTGGGGTCAGTGGAAGGTAAAGAAAACCTCCTAGTGAGGGCTGCAAGGTCCAGAAGAGGAGCCCTGACTCCCCAGCGGCGTGGCTGGGCACACTGACTGAGCCACCCACTGCGCACGCACCAGGGGTGAAGGCATGTGCAAGGGTATTGTAAACTTGAAACTGTTGAAATCAGTCTGAGGCCAGTATAAAGACGCTTGCCCATAACCTTGGCAAATACCCTGTTTGCTGCACACTCACGAAGGT